AAGGGTATAAAAAATAGCAAATTTCATATTAAAAAACGGCGGAACTTAATATAGTTTTTCTATAATGCAGGAATGGGGCTCGCTTACATACGAAAGTATTTTTTTACGAAGTAAACCTTTCTTGAACTTCTAAAGAAAATTGTAGAGACGATTATTCTCGTTCTAATGGTGGTAAAATCATTACAAACTGTTCAGTAGATTCCGAGATATTGATATTTTTAATTTTTTTACTATACGATTTTTACTATTGCAAAAAACTTTTGGCATTCCATCTCTATATGAAAGTATTAGTATTACTCCGCCGATTTTTATTATGAAATTTATACTCTTTAACTGCGGACTACCTCTTAATAGAGTAATTTAAAAACTATATATATATTTTTTTAATATAAAATACAGTATATCATATAACTTATTTTTTATTAATAAGATACAAAGCTTCAATGAACTAAACTAACTATCTTTAACAATTATTTATTCATTTTCAAACTATAGTTATACTAATCTTAATACATATATAGCTATATTACTATAATTTGCTACAGATTGTTTTTCTTTTTAATTTCTTTGTCTTTATAAGATTCTAATTGAATTATAATATTAGTAGAACTATTAACAAAAACTTTTTACTCTTGATCTATAGAATATAGTTTTGTTGATATTTTGTAATAGCCTAAAATTTTATTTTTTTTTGTTTAATCATGTGTTTATTGACTTATAATACAGTACATAAAGTTTTTTTTTAATTTTATAGCTTCAACAAGATTAAAATTAAAAATATTAATAAAGCTACAAACAGAATAAAGTAAATTACTAATATTTGAAGTATTTAATTTATTAAGTATTATTAAAGTATAGTATAATAATATTTGCTTAAATTGTGAGTAACTTATCTAATAATAAAAAGCAAATAGTTCTATAGATTGTATTTATTCTTTTATTATTCTCTAGTAAAAATAAAGATCATTTATAGAGAAAGTAGAAATTAGTATTCACAAATCTAATTACAATATATATTTATTAAAATCTAAGTTTATTTAATCTAAATTTTTCTCTCTATAAATATTTATTTATTTATTTTTTTATTTTTATTTTATTTATTTTTAATAAGCTATCTGCAGATTTTTATTAAGTATTATTTTTAAGTTTATATTAGTTAATAAAAGTATAATTATATGTTCTATTTTTTTAAAACTATTTTTTATTATAAACTATTTATAATTAAGATATATTCAAGAAACTGTCTAAAGATAATAAACTATGCTAATAATTTATAAAAATAATTAAATAAATAAAGCTTATTTTGTTGCAATAACAAAATTAAATAATAAAATATAAATAAGAAAAAATATATATATATAACTTATTTTATAATAGTATATTAAAAAATATAAAAGTATATAGAAAAAGTAGTTATAGAAGAACTAAAATCTAAAATATTTAAAAAATAAGATATATTTATTATGAGTTTAAATTAAAAAAAGTATTAATAAAAATAGAATTAGATATAGATTTAAAAAAAGAAACTATATCTACAAGATCTTATAAACAAATAATGGATTAAAGAAGTTAAAATACTTCTAGATTCTTGTTCAAATCAAACCAAATAATCTATTGATTTATAAATATTTTTTAATTAAACTTCTATTAAAGATAATAAAAATTTTACTATAAAGTAATAACAAACTAAAAAAAAAAATAAATTAATTTGTAAGAAAAAAAAAACAATTAAAAAATAACAAAATGAATAAGAAAAAAAAAATATTGATATAAAAAGTTAAAAAAAAGTAACTATATTAGAAAAAGAGGAAAAAATTCTGAAAGAATTAAAAAACAAAAGAATTGATTACTTAGAAAAGAAGGTTATTACTAAGAAAACTTATAAGCTATAAACAATATAAAGAAATTACCAACTCTTTCTGATGATCCTTTTTTCCAAAAATTCAGAAAAGCCAAAAACAAAAATTTATCAGAGATAATGAAGAAGAAGGTTCTTTTACAATATAACGGTTTTTATAGAGGTCAACCACTGCTTCAAAGACTCCTCTATATATTTAACATACAAGCTAAAAGTGATATTATATAAGATAACTAGCAGGTGAAGCCTTTGTATAAAAAATTTTAGTAAAGAGACAAAAAAGAAGCTCTTTGTTAACAAAGTTGGTAAAAGAAGACTTAAGAAGTAGGGGAACAATAAATTATTTTGTCCACACACTCCTTTGGAACTTAGAAAACAACAATATACCGCAAGCTTTTTTGCTCCGGTCTTCTATTTTTTTCGACAAAAAGTGGGGAATCTAGGTTCCTCCTTCCAAAAGATCGGCATTGTTTACTCCTTCCATTTTTAGAAAGTTTTAGTATAAATAATCTATAAGAAGAGTTAGTAATTTTATTTTTTAGAATTGAATCTTTAATAATTAATTTAATAGTTAATCAAATTAGAATTATAATTATTTCTAGAAATAATTATATATTTTTGAATTAATTCTTAAATTAGAATTAATTCTAAGTATAATTATTTTAATTATAATAAACTTTTACTTATTTTAGATTATTTTAATAATAGTTTTTTGTTTTTAAACTTTATGAATTATTTGTTCTAGCCTTTAGTTTAATATAATTATCTTATTTTACACAAATTACTATAAATATTTAAGATTATTATATTTAATTTTCTTGATAGCTATATGTTTATTAAATATAAAACATATTGTTTTTTATTAAATTTTAAGTATATAGTTTTGAATTTAGTATTTGAACATTATTTAGATTTTGTTCTATTATTATTTAGATAATATACTGTATTATACTCTTTTTTTTTATATGTTCTAGTATATATTTGTTTCAGAATCTCTTAATACTGCTTACACTACTTAGCTTATGTTTAAAGCTATCTAATACTATTTGGACTATTCTTAATGCTACCTAACACATGCTGCAGATGAATATCATTCAGATATTATCTGAATAATATCTAAATAGTATAGATATTATCTGATATTCTAATTGTTAGTTAAAATCAATATGTGAATATTCAAAAATTATTTGGATATTTAGATAATTGACCTAATAGATCTAACTTCTAAAATTGACGGGTTAAGATAATAAATATTAAAAACCTTGTATAGTATTCTAATACTCTAAAATCTATTATTTTAGAAATATTAGATTTAAGATATTGTTCAAGATTAATATAAGTAATAAATGACATATATACAGGGTTTAATTATTGATTATAAATCGATTATAGTGATTTGATTATTGAATGAAAGTTTTAGAATCGATTCTCATCTCTAGTCAGATCGATAGTAGTTAATCAGAAGGGGAGGTGATAGTCTAAGAGTAATTAGAAGTATTACGATATCAATAAAGATGACTTTAATCTTAATAAGATAACTTATAAATGATCTATATGTAATTATTATCTTAACAATAATGTTTTAATAATTAATTAATTTAATCATATCATCTGATCTAAGTAATTAATTAATTTACTTAATAATCTTATTATATATCATTGTTCCTTATAATAAGTTCTACAAAGTTACCAGTCTTTAGATGTCTGATTTTTTGATCATGTGATTGGCGATTATTTCAAATGTCTACTATTAATGTTTTTAGGAATATACAAAAGTACATTGTGTATCATTATCATTATACAATATTTTCTAAATTTGGATTGCTCAAAGAAAACAAATAGTTACACCATTTGATTTATATATAAATATTACTAAAATAAGGCTTATTAAACTAGTTCTAACAAAATTACCTGATTAAATATATATAGTATTAAAACTAAACATTCGTTTCTAATTTTGTATGATAATGTCACACAACTAGCTATTTGATATGTATTATATGTTGTCCTTAGATAATGATTCCTGATAAAACTCAGATGACCTGATGAAACTATATAGTTTCGTCAATTTGTCACTGGTGAAACCTATGGTTTCATCAATTCATCAATAGCAAAAATAGTTTCGTTAGATATCTATAGCCTTAAATTAATACTTGTATTAGATTAAAATTGGCCTAAATTAGAGTTAGAGTTAGGGTAAGGACTAGAATTTAGCAAGGCTGATTATTATAGATTATTTTAATCTGACACAAGTATTAATCTGAGACATAAACAAATATTACAAAGCTATAATATTTTGAGTCAAAAAAAAAGGTAAAATTTGCAAATTTATATTAAAATTTAACAAAGAAAATTAATGCCAAAATAACAGTTATTTTTTTTATAATTTATTATGTTTGTAGTTAGACTGATAGTAATACCCTAATAAGATATTATTATTAAAGTTATTCCCATTCTTGATTTGGCATGACTATATCATACAGATACCGAATTTTAATAATTTATAAATACCAGAGAACTGATTATCACTCTTTGCAAATTAGTGCGATAATCAAAAATTATAAATTTTTTGTGAATCCTAGTGGTTAATGATTACTATATTGTATGCATTGCCCCTACCTATATTTAACAATTACATATACATATTGATATATATCAACAATTATTGTTATATATATATATTAACAATTGATATAACTAGTATTAGAATGTTAGTAATATTGAATAAATTTAAATATGACTTGATATTATCATTATAAGCTTTAATATAATCTTCTTCTAATATGACATTAGTAAAACCTCGTAAATATGAAATTGGCAGCTGTTATAGTTGCCAAAAGTGTTAGTTTTTCTTTATAGATCTAATACAACAAGACTGTTCTTGTGATTTAAGTATAAAATCTTTCTGTTATAATGATAATCGAGCCAAACGTAGATAACAAATTCATAATCAACATTATAGTATTTATACAACATTTTTACCTCAAATTAGATAGCTAAAAAATTGTAGTGAATACTTTGGATACTTAAGCAACTTAATAAAGATTTTGATATAACCTTTTGTTCTGCATATAATTCAAAATACAATCGTACCAAATCTTCAACAACTAAATAAAATTTAGATCACGATAGTGAAGCAGAGATGATTACTGAAGATATGATAGCTAATGAACCTATAGTGGATGGATTGAAAGTAAAAGTCATTATCAATACAAACAAATCAAAATTACTTACAGGAAAATAGTTAGAATTTAATGCTGTAGAAGTTGAAAGTTTTTATCTATTTCAATTAAATTTAAATAGTCATGTACAAAAGTATTTAAATAGTCAAGCTATTAATGAGAATGATTATGAAGTAGTTTATAAAGTAAATGGTCGGGGTCAAGCAATATGTATAAATGATGATGAAGACTTTGAAAACTTTATAATTGAAAGCAAGGATCTTAATTCAACCAAAACAATGCATCTTTATATTAACATAAAGAAATCTAACACTAACAAATGAAAATTAATAGTAATAATTAACTGTTTATTTTTTTTTTTTTTTATCTTGAGCGATCTTACCCATCATTTATTTGGAGAAATATCAAAATGATATATAGATACAAATTATAAAAAGTCCTAAAACTACACTATAACTATATCCCTCCTTTTACAATTCAGGATTCACTCGGCTGCCAGTTGGTGCCCAGGTGCGATCTGCCGCAGAAGCCAGTTTTCTTCCCGCAGTAACTCTCCTCGAAGAAGATATTATCCTTGGATCAACAAAGGCGACTTCAAGCCTTATCAAGATCCTAGGTCCCTTATAACCTAATTAACACTAAGCTACAAG